TACCGTGGTCTTAGTGCCAAGTTTTGTTTTCCTGATCAGTTTTATGGTTAACTCTACGTAGTCGTTTTTATTTTTTTAAATCTAATTTTTGCTAGCAACTTGTAATCCTTTGTTCTCTTGTTTCCTACCAATCATTTCCAAACGAGTGTTGATCATTTAACTAACTGGTTGTCAACCCTCCTGATTACTTCTGATAATCCACAACTTCTCAAATATTGCTGTAACTCATACACTTAAATTTATTTTGTTACTAAATGACAATAACCCTGACCTCTGTGTTCAATCAGCATTCTTTATATAAACCCCCTAAATAACTGTGCAGCTTTGAAGTGCAGTTGCAAACAGAGATCTCTGGCGAATTATGTTCTTAATTATATTGTGGTGAGAGCAGGCTAGCCAAAAATGGCAGACAGCATTTTACGTCAATGGGTATGTCGCAAATATTGGTGGTGAGAAAATATGAACAAGACTGATTCAACAACCAATCACAGTAGACTTGGCGTAGGCAGATGCAGTTAAAATATGGATGAACTGACGTTCAAGAAACAGTCACAAAGAGATGCAGGGCCAACTTTCTGTAGGAAACAACCAACCAGAGGGCTGTGTTTTTCTGCTTGAGTAAGCTATAAAAACGTACATGAAATATACGTATATACGTGTTGATTTTCTGTGTGCGTCGTTGGCACAGTGGTTAGAACTCTCGCCGACCATGCACATGGTCCGAGGTTCGATCTCCTGCCGACGCACACCTGATATCTATGGTCGGCCTGCGAAATTTGTGCTACCGATATCCATGCTGAAAATTCCATACTTGTACAAAAAATATAGTGTGGAATCAAGCTGTAATCAAAGATAAAAAAATAAAAATAATAAACGATCTGTTGCCTGACGCTTGCCTTTTGTCGTTACCATATGACATGGAAAGGTTTCATACCCTAAAGGGTAATTGTTTACAGAAGTGGTGTGTTAGGTTGTACTGAGTCAGCTAAGAAATCCTCACATAAATACTGAATAGTGAAATATCAGGAGGGTTTTGTGCTCATTTCTACAAGTGTCAGCCTCGTCTCGAAAACCGTCAATGCCCAGCTCTTGCTACGCTGGGACTCACGCTGTTCCTCGAAGCTTCTCAGAAACGCCTAGTAATAACGGATGAAAATACCAAAACACCGATTGGCTACTCGAGAATTCTTTATTGTAACACCAACATATAGGCATCTTTAAAATTAAGTTTTAACTAAGGTCTATGAATAAATATTACAATAATAAATCACAATATTACTTCTGACAGTTTTGGCCTGACTTCTTTGTGAACAGCGACCGATGAGACGATGACTGGTGTATCGGTGTCTCCGCGAAAATATAGGGAAGTTGTGTTTGAGCAAACAACCATGAATTGATCGTTCAATCTTCAACTACATTGACAACAAGTTTTGATTAGTTGACTGAAATATGAGAGAGAATGGTAGAAAGAAAAAATATTCAACATATTCTTTAGTCGTGTTACTTCTTGACTGAAATTATTTTCTAAGAATGTATCATGTGTTCAAATAAGCTGCTTATTTATTGACCTTTTCAAAGTATACAGTTCAACTGTAAGAAAAATTTCATCCACACTGACAACGAAAATAACCTTATCCTGAGAAAGGTTTATCTCCAGTGAATGCACACTTGATTTTAAGTCTAGAAAGAACTCAGTTCATGAGAATGAAGTGATTCTCCGTACTCCTCAAATATTTTACGTATCTGACAAATCCTAATGGGCGTTGATAGGGCATATCCCCTATTTGAAGTGGCGCCTCTGGCTTAACCTTGACGGCATTTGCGCGGTTTCGTTGATTCGAGTTGGAGCTAGTCGTACAGCAAACGCAGTAGACGCGATTTTGGTGCTTATTTTGCTCTTGTTGGATGAATTTATATGAAAATTATTGTTTGATATTGTTCTTGAGCATTTACTTATTGCTTGTGTGACAGGACGATTAAATACATGGTTCATGCAGTGATTTTTGGCATGCCGAGTAAGCTTCGCGTACATTTCAACGACTGTCATTCGATAAATTTCTTTGCAGATTGGCGGAAACTTGTGCTCGGTCTCAAATTTCCCTATCAGCATTTGTGCAGTACCTATTACTGCTGCAGGAACCAAGGAATATGGTTGATATCAAATTTTGCATCCTTCCGCACTTTCGTGTGGTGTTTTGATAGCTGAAAATCAATGGAATGCATAGATACAAGCGAAAATTAGTGTTCACAAATGGGAAGAAACTGTAATATGTTTTACGATCACTTACAACATTCAGTGTTTTCTGCCAAAATTTTTAAATGAGTTAAATGCACACTGCAACATTTTAGTAACTTGGTGGATTTCAATACCATCCTCGTGATCAGGTACGCAAAGACATCTGACGTGTGCGTCACCTTGTCCTATTAGTGAGTTTGGTTTCATAAACTTCCGATTTTTGTTATTGTCCTGACGCCACATTATTCGCGCTTGTTCGAAGTTAATCCACAAAATTATTTTGAAACACCGTCGAAGTAGTGTCCGACATCTCTTAAAGCTATGGACGTAAGGTTTAGAAGTGGTTGCTGTATCCATTTAGGGAAGGCTCATCGATTTCTGCAAGTAAGGGCTACGCATCATATTCCTAAATGCCTCCAGAAGCAACAGAATCTTCAGAAGTTATTAATGGGGTCCCAGCTTCTCTATTTCGAAACATATTATAGTGACAGGACATAAAACTGACGTTCGCACATTTTTTAAACATATCTGTAAAACGTGTTTGGATTGCATCCTAAAGTTTGTGGAAGCCGAAGTGTGATTAGGAAGTTTAAACCACTTTTGTGAGTTCCAAAACTATTTGTCATCACACGAAACCTTTTTTGTTAAACTTCGTTTTGATACTAGTCAGGCTAGATGTACTAGTCTCTCTGATATTTGGTTTAGTGATCTTCATTGTTATTTTGACCTCCAATATGTGGTTTTAATTCCACCTAAATTTATTTTCTAGACTTTTAACTGTATTAATCTCATATGTATTCCTATAACAATTCCATGCGTGACCAGATTGTCCAAAATGTGTTGCACAAATACAACACTACACGACTCAGACAAATTACGTCTTCTTATTACTTCGTCTAAATATTCACTTGTTTCACAAATAGTGACTGATGTAATCGCACATCGATATTAACTTTCATTAATTCTTACCGTGCTATCTCGTTAATATTATATTGGTAGTTATATTCATGTATACATCCTGTGAACCTTTGTTTCTCTTTTTCAGCTAATCTGTAGTCCCAGTGACCTCGTGGGATTCGTTGCTGAAGAAAGTGGTTTCCAGTACCGTTGATTTTGTATTTTGTGTCGAATCACTAATAAATGTATTCTCTATACCTCAAATAGACATTCTACTTGTTAATAGTCACTACTAACTTTATAGAATGTTGTGAGCTACAGAGTTATGGGGTTAGGGTCATGTGTTGTATTGAGTAGCACGTTTAGAAGATACGTCCGCCCCTGAGGAATACTGTCGTCAATATGGAGTACATTCTCGTGATAAATCTGTTAGCAGTAATTATTATCAGTACCTATAATTCGTATGGATGGTATATAACGAAACGTACTAATTCAGTAGTCAAAGGTTAGAAATATCCGTTAAAATTGAAACAGGTGCTCATGTAAGGGAAAACTGATTAATCGAAAGTTGAAACATCACGTAAGTGATAAAGTTTATAGCATTGTTTACATGCGAATAGTTAAGGTTATTTGTTTAAAAATGATGGTAACTCGTTGATGGTTTAAGGGATGTTCTGTTTGATAGGAAATAGATGGGACATTGTAAGGGAAAAACAGTGTAACTGGATAAACAACATCAGCTGGCCAGTATACACTTATTTTGAAGTAAAACACGATCGGGTAAAGTATTTCGAAGGCAGGAGTAGAGCAGTCTTCTGGAACTATTAATTTAGTAAGCAATTAAATTTGTCTTTGAATTAAGACTGAAAGTAAGCGGCATATTGGTAAGCTAAACGATTATCATTATTCGGTTTCGTTAGAATAAGTATCCGAGTACTGTTTTACTCATCATTCTGTCTTTTGAATAACTTAGTAACATGGCGTTTACTTTCGGATCCAAATTACTAAGTAAAGGTTAATATCCCTAATATGAAATTGTCGCCAAAGTAAGTAAATATGTTCATATCTAGAAAATACTAAGGTTTGGAGTTGTTTTTTTACTACCACAACACCAGGTGACTCACCAATTAGTCACAAAGTAAAACTAGATCTGTCAAAGAGAGTCCGCTCCTGACTTCTAGGTTTCGTGAAGATAGAACTATATACATAGGTTAATAGGATTAGACGCATGATTTCAATTCGAAACTAGGTAATTACGTTTCGCAGCTACAGAAAACACCACGTTACAATCTATTCCTTTAATCGTGTCAATCAATGTGACATCAATTAAGACTAGAGAAGGAACACCACTGGTTTTCACAAAATCCATTTGTGTTCCCTAATATAATGTACATTCCGTAATTATAGGCAAACTGGGAAACGCACCAAGTCATCACATATACGAACGATAATTAATTTAAATAATTAATTTAAAGGAATGCCTACTCGATATGGTCCAGAGTTCATGTGAAGTGACACATGCCTACATCTGAAAGTGCATGTGTAAGGTATCGCATTTCGTAAGCCTTTCGTCTAGGTGACTCAATGGGTCGCCTCCATATTTAACAAATGCTCAGTCCATGAATTCTACTTGTACCTGTAAAACACAAAGAATACCCCGCTGGGATATGGTGCTGTGTTACACTAGAATCCCGCAGTCTACAGGTAAATCACACTAAATATCTGTGAATTTCTCCCGAAAGAAATCCGAAACGATAATCCAAACTATAGATTTAACCACACGTAGAGTGACGCGTAAAGTCCAAAATACAGGATATCCTGAAATACGGTACTTTATTACATAAAAATAGATATATAATATACAAACCTCAAAATGTGAGGTGTCTGTGGCTAAATGCCGTCAAATGCACAACCACTGTGCAGTCAATAAGTAAAAACAGCAATGCTGTGTCAAGGTCGATCCACGTGTCGGTTCAAACGGCCCGCGAATGCCAAGCAAAGAATAAACAAATATGAACAAACAACTTTCACTGGTAAAGCATACACTATAGGGTAAATGCAGCAAGTAATGTTTAAGGAGAAGAAAAATAAGAACTATACATTAATAGAATGATAATAGAACAAGTAATTTAACTGCAGTTGTAAGCAAATGTCATTGTAATAAATTAACATATAAAATCATACTACTTACTAATGGCAAGTAGTATAATGTTGAACAAAGAAAAGATTGAGAATGAACAGGTAGGAAAGGAATTAACACCGCCCCCTCAAAACCAGCCTGGTTTTCCCTACTCTACCTGCTAGTAAGACACAGAAATGGTACAATTTACTCTCGCCACATCTGTATCCACTATCCAGCTATATATCCTACAAAGTGCTTATCTCTCCTCAATACCTTCTAGTAGGCAAACCCTACGCACATCTCGGTTGACTATACCCCTCGGTGTCTTGATATCCACTTTTCTGATATACCCATCGCAGCTTGCCGTAACACCTGTAATTATTCCCATTGACCAACGATTGCGAGGTGAAGGCTCCGCAGCCACTAGTACTAGGTCTCCCACTTGTAAGTTTCGATGTCGTCGAACGCGATTGTAAGGTCGTCAAGTACTCCCGCTTCCACCGTCTCCAAAACGTATCAGCGAGGAGTTGCCCTTGTTTCCATCGTCTTGTGCCTCGTTTTAAAGCATAGGCTGCACAAAAAGGTGATGAGGTAGCACCGAAGGGATGTACGTTTAATTCATACAGGCTCGGTGGTAAGTCCAGTCTACCCTCAGAATACCATAAGAAACTAAAGGCACTTTTATCCTTGACAGGTAAGTGAACCTGAAGAAACATCTCCTCAATATCTGCTGACAAGGCTATCCGATGTTTTTTAAATCTCAATAGTACCCCAGCCAAGTCATTCATCAGATCAGGTCCCGAATACGGACAATCGTTCAAGGATATTCCCTTACATTTAAAGGCACAATCGAAAACCACTCTAATTTTACCAGGCTTGCGGGGATTCATAACTGGGTGGTGAGGGATAACTCTACGTTTCTTGGAGAAGTCGTCAGGAACGCGACTAATATAACCCTTCAACTCATGGTCTGTTAGTATTTGATTGTAGGACTTCAATAGGCTTTCGTCCTTTTTTAGTCTCTTCTGAAGACTGTCCAGCCTGCGTTCTGCCTCAAACTTATTAGGCGGTAATCTACGCCAGTCCTCTTTCCAAGTCAATGGAACTTCATAATGTCCGTTCCGCAATCTTATCTCCCTATCGGTTGCCTTCAGAACCCCTTTATCTATTTCAGAACTGGACCTTTCGCATGAGTGCTTGTCCTGAAATTCAGCTTCAATCATTCGCAAAGGCTTGTTCTCTACTGATTCACTTTCCTCTAAGCAGAAGATAGAGGTTGCTTCTTTATATTCGTCTCCTGAACCCAATAAATACCAACCAAAAACTGACAAAGATGCAAACGGTTGGTTGGATTTCCCTATACGCTGCTCCAGCACCCAGTGTGCTTCAGGTACATTAGTCCCAATTAGTAGACTGACCTGTTTACATTCGACGTCTAGAAAGGGAATTTCTGCCAGGTGAGGCCATTTTTTCACCTGTTCGTTTGAAGGAGTCTTAGGTCTCTTTACAGGTAAGCTTTCCACGGTGTAGGCACTCTTGACCCTCGTCTTGTAATCTCCCGTTAAGGATTCAACTTCGAAATCAACCTTAGATGAATTCTGAGAAGTAGTTCCACAGAAAGATGTTACCTGCATCAATGTATTAACCCCTTCCAGTCCTATTTGGCGGCAACATGACTCAGCAGTAGTGTAGCATCTGAACCATTGTCAAGAAAGGCATAGGTATCTAGAAATCCTTTAGGACCTAAGATACGAATCGGCACATATCCTAAAAAGGAAGTTCCGGATTCCGTGCTAGAGTAGTTGACAGTCTTGCATGCTGAATTATCTTCATTGTGTAGAAGTTTATGATGACGTCTAGTGCATCCTACTATATCGCAACCTCTTGCTGCACGACAAGTGTCAGCTCGGTGATTACATTTCAAACAGTTGAAGCACACCTTATGCCGCATTGACACTGCTAGTCTCTCTTTGTGACTCATCGACAAAAAGCGTTGACAGTCCCATAAGTCGTGATCTGTGAAGCAAACTATGCACGACTTCTGGGCTCGTGACTTCACGACATTAACACTGTGCGAAGGCATAGCTCTGGACATTTTATCGTTGGACCCTACTTCGTTGTTGTTCCTATTCCCATTAGCTATCTGGCCGTAACAGCTTGTAGCCAAGGACAGTTGCCTTTCGAGGAATTCTTTGAGGTAACGAAAGCTAGGTTCAGCAAACTGTAAACCATCGTTTACCAATTCTGCCCACTTCCATCGTAGGTGCCGAGGGAGACGTTGAACAATGCACTTAAGGTTGGTAGAGCAGTCCAAGTCTGCCATGTGATTCATCTGAGATAAGGCTATCTCACAATTGGTCATCTGTCTCAACAACCGTTGTAGCCCAACTATATCTTCAGGTTGCAGCTGTGGGCCTGACAGTAATTCGGAGAGGAAGGCATCTGAAACTGCATGAGGTTGGCCAAATTGACTTCGTAAAATCCCCATGGCTTTCCTATAGCCTACCTCAGAGGGCAGTAGAATGCAATGCTCTATGGCCTCCTTGGCTATACCAACACAATTGTGTATAAGATGCATTAACCGTAGGTTGTCATCATTAGTTTGTTCTCCTATTAACATGTTAAAGCATCTTATAAACTTCAAGAACTTAGTCGGTGTACCATCGAACTTATCCATCTCAATTTGAGGCATTCTAATGGGGCTAAATGAGTTCAGGAGTGGTTGGACTGGAGTAGCAGTACAATTTGACCCTGATGGTCGTGCTGTACAATACATGGTTCTACCGTCTAGGAGTTGGCTTTCCGAGGGATTGGCGCAAGATCGAACGCAGCTGGCTGCAGTCTTGACTTGTTGAGAGCGCTCGCTCTTCAATTTTCGTTGTTTGCTGCGAAGTCTAAGCTCTTGAACCTTAAGCTCTAGGATCTCTAATTCGGTAGCCACATCCGAATCAACATCGGAGTCTACTACTACACTACCTCTCATAGCAATATTATCAAAACCTGGGCTGACATGAGGGGTGTGTTTAAAATTATCAGAAACAGATAAGGAAACAGGTAAAGAAGAAACTTGCGGTGAAGATAAATTGACTCGAAGATATTCTTCAGCGTTTTCCAGTTTTCCAGACATATTACGAGTAACCGGCATTGATAATCGTCCAAATAGATCAACAAGACCAATTTTGAGTACTGTGAATTTCTCCCGAAAGAAATCCGAAACGATAATCCAAACTATAGATTTAACCACACGTAGAGTGACGCGTAAAGTCCAAAATACAGGATATCCTGAAATACGGTACTTTATTACATAAAAATAGATATATAATATACAAACCTCAAAATGTGAGGTGTCTGTGGCTAAATGCCGTCAAATGCACAACCACTGTGCAGTCAATAAGTAAAAACAGCAATGCTGTGTCAAGGTCGATCCACGTGTCGGTTCAAACGGCCCGCGAATGCCAAGCAAAGAATAAACAAATATGAACAAACAACTTTCACTGGTAAAGCATACACTATAGGGTAAATGCAGCAAGTAATGTTTAAGGAGAAGAAAAATAAGAACTATACATTAATAGAATGATAATAGAACAAGTAATTTAACTGCAGTTGTAAGCAAATGTCATTGTATTAAATTAACATATAAAAATCATACTACTTACTAATGGCAAGTAGTATAATGTTGAACAAAGAAAAGATTGAGAATGAACAGGTAGGAAAGGAATTAACAATATCAGTATTGCGGCTTTTAGGTGAAAAAGTCATTCGACTATGTCACAGATGCTTTTGGCTGGATTCGTCAGTACCAAGTATTATTCCCTATGAGAGTGCATTGAAGAAATCCTGCAGGGTGATATTGAAGCTTCGCCGAAAATTGAATAGAAACATTTCACTCATAATAATAATAATAATAATAATAATAGTATATTCTCATTTTGTACATGAGAGACGCCAGTTTACAGGCATCATCAATATGATAAATTACATATACGATTAGCAATCATAATTAATAATAATGTTTTAATAAAATACACATTTTTTCCTACTTGTGTAGGACACACCAAATATACAGGCATGGATAAGCATTATATAAATTTCATAAATTTGGTTTATGGTTAAGTTACATGGTTGCTGGCGTTTTTGTCTTAGGTCTGTGGGAACAATATGATAACCAGTCATTCAATGGAGCACGTCATGAAATATAGGAATATTAACTTCGCATTAACAAAAAAACCCAAGTAAGTTTTGGATGGATTAAAAATACTTGGGAAAAAATAAAGCTTGAAGTAATTCCTCAATATAACTTGGGTGTGTACAAATCCGAATCTTATTTTTGATTTGATTTATATCCAAATTGGGTAATAAGGAAGCTATTTTTACAGATACGATCAGTTATGTTATAAGCTACAATCGTGACGTTGTATTACAAATAGATACTTTTCCATTGGTATAAGAGTATATTCCACAAATGTAATCCAGGTTGCGTCGTGGAGAAAGTTAATTCGTTATTAACCAGGCAACTGAAAGATACGGGACCAATAATGTTTGCAGATCATTTGTCATTGTAAATGGTCAAATATCCACATTATTCATTCTCATTCAAAAAGTCAAATGGAAGCTGAAATGGTGAGAGAAAAAAGAAGACAAACAACAGCAACGCAAAAGAAAGCAACGGGAGTCCTTAAGGAGTGATTAATAAATATATACATATATATTCTGTTTAGTAACTGTGGTTATTTTGGTACACAAACTAACTAGTCCCGTTATGCTAACTTTTATATTATGTGTAAACTAATATTACTGTCCTGTGTAGAAATGTTAATCATCTAGTTCCAATAATATTAAAATTTATAATTGTAGTTTGTTGTAACTACACGTTTAAAGAACTTAAAATATCTATGTAGGGTGAAAAAGAAGGTGTAAGAGTCAGGCGCAAAAGTGCATTGTCATCTTTGAGTAGTCTGGTGACTGAGGAGATGAACACTGGAAGTGTGTTTGCATCGCGCACATTAGCTGGTAGTCTATTCCAAATGACTGAAAACTTATTTAAGAAGAAGTTGTACCGCACGTAAGTCTGACAGTGCTCCATAGCAGCTAGGTTGTGATGATTTCTAAGATTGTAACTGATGACAGCGGTAGGTTTAGTTATTGGCTCGGAGGAATGCAAGAGAAGATTAGTTAGCTTATAGTAAAAGATAAGGTTTAGCTTAAGGCGTCTTTTCCAGAGGGGTTCTAATCTTAGTCTTACGCATCGCTCATGGTATTCCAGACCACTTTCTAAACCAAGAGTTCTTGAGGTAAACTGCCGTTGCACTCCCTCTAATTTAAGCTTGTCATTTTGTCTTAGTCCGCTAAGAATAAACGGGCAGTATTCTAAGATAGGTCGGACACATACTTTGTATAATAAAACCCTAGTTTCACAACAAAAGAAATTGCGTGTTATGCATCCTATCAGCCTTCGCGTTTTACGTCTGGCATAATCAGTCTGTTCAGCGAACGTTAGGTTACTAGAGTATCTAATACCGAGATCTACGACTGAGTTGAGCTTAGCTAGTTTTCGCCCATTTATTTCAAGAGTTAGATCAAGGTTACTGTTGCCGATACAAATCCAGCCGCATTTGTCAATGTTAAAATTTAGACAGGATTCAGCACACCATGATGCGAGGCTACTTAGTTCAAGATGTATTTTAGTAACCATATCGCTTAATTCATGAGTGTAGCAGGAGTAGACGACTTTGAGGTCGTCAGCATATAGGAATGGTTTGCCTAAGGTGAAGCACTTGCAAATGCTGTTAATGTAGACTGTGAATAAAAGTGGACCTAGGACACTACCTTGCACGACCCCACTTGAGATCTGCCTAGGATGAGACAATACAGATCCAACTTTGGTTATTTGTACCCTGTTGCTTAGAAATGATTTTAACCAGTTCAGTAATGGGTTGCGAATTCCACAAGAGTACAGCTTCTCAAAGAGAATACTGTGAGATACCATGTCAAATGCCCTAGATATATCGAAGTAGAGAACAACGACTAGCTTACGTGCTTCGCGACTACTAGTGATGCAGTTGAAAAAGTCGAAGTGGCAAGTAACGCAGGATCTATTTTTGAGAAATCCGTGTTGAGACCTTGTAACAAGATCTTCCCTAATTAGGTAGTCTGACAATTGATCTTTTACAACTTTCTCCATGATTCGTGAGATAACTGGGGTTATATTTATGGGTCTGTAATTGCGGACGTTTGCCCTATCACCAGATTTGTAATGTGGAATTATGAAGCTAGTTTTCCACTCACTAGGGTAAGTGCCAGTGTCCATAGATATTGAGAAGAATTTAAGAAGTAACAAGGGTATATCACACCCACTGTTTTTGAAAATTATCGAAGCGAGGCCATCCGGTCCCGTACTAGTGGAAGGTTTAAGGCTTTTAATTGCTTGTACTATTAACTGATTAGTGAACACAATGCTTTCAAGGGAAGAGATAGTAAGGGGAGCGGTTTCACCAGGCATATGTGTTTCTAAACTAAAGTTTGCAAACCAATCACTGAAGAGTTCACAGATAGTGGCAGGTTCATTGTAGATTACTTTGTCGTGAAGTAAGTATGGGATTTCCCTCGCCGACTGCATTCGTTTTTTAAGAAGTGCCGTTAAGTTATAAACTTTGGAGGTACTTTCAAGTGCCGTTAACTCTTCGTCGAGGTCCTTTTGAGAGCGTAGGCGCTTGAGAGATTCAAGAGACTCGTGGATTGAGAGCAATAGTGATATGTCCTTAGTGGAATAGTACTGTTTCTTCAGTTTCCTTAACTTATTACGGTGTGCCCTTGGAATATATTCAGTTCGGTGTCTACTTAATTTCACTATTTTCTTTGGAGCAACTGTATCTAGACAAAGGGTAACATTCCTGTAAAACAGGGTTACTAAGGCCTCCAGGGAGTCAGTGGTAAAATAGTCATCCCATTGACAGAGTCGAATAAGTTCTTGGACTAATCCCCAGTCTGTATATTTGTAACTACGACATATTGTGCTTCCTGAGTCTTGTTTGTTTCCTGTATTTAGTGGTGAGAAAGGCAGAGAGCAGAGTACCATTCTATGGTCACTACTGGAAAATCGATTACCAACATACGTGGATACTGGGATTGTGTCATGACAAAAAACAAGGTCCAACATGTTGTCACCACGAGTAGGTGTCTGGACGTGTTGTTGCCATCCATAACAGTCTATAGTGGCAAGTAATTCGTCGAAGCGTTGGGGGCCGGAACTAGTTAGCCAATTGACTTCTGGAAGATTGAAGTCCCCTGCAATTATTTTGTAATTAGCACTAAACGAGGATGCGTGTGCAAACGATTTAGCTAATAACGCATCAGTTTCTTTTGTTGAGCTTGGTGCTCGATAAACACAGCCTATGAGAAGTTTGTACTTATCTCCATGTAAGACAACCCAGAGTGAGTCAGGTACATTATTCATTGTTTCATCTTCCACCTTACTGACTACAAATGAGCTATGTATATATATGAGACATCCTCCACCACGCTTGCAATCTCTGTTTGCACGGTGTACAGTGTAATCATCGATACCTATATGCACATCAAGTACAGAGGATGAGCACCATGATTCAGTAATCAGAGCTACAGTAGGCTTGGCGACTAATAATAATGTCCTTAGTTCAGATATCTTATTGATTAAGGAACGTGCATTAATTAGCAATATCGTGAATAAGTCACGGGATACTACAAACTGGCTTAAAATGTCACCATAACCTAAATCTATTTGTGCGTCAGCACCGCAAGAATTTATGAATGAAAAGGAGGTCGGACTGGGTGTCTGTACATCGGGTTGGAGTGCAATGAGGTGGTCCTAGGTGCCATGGGTCGTACCAGTGATTCGGGACACCTGGAAAATTTACCATGTGTTCCTGGATATAAGGGTAGTACAGGTTGGGCCTAGGTTGACGGTTAAAAGGCATAGCATCAGAAGGTCTACCCATCCAACTGCTATTCGTCATACCGGTATACACCTTCGGGTTGTTTTTATAACTTAAAGGGAATTGTGAAGGAAGGTGCTTTGGCTGCAAGACTTTAGGAGTCTTGGAGCCTGACTTTCTATAAGGTGGAGCATGCGGAACACCTCCAGATGTACTTATGTTTCGAGAGGAGTTTTTCGTAACAAGTGATGGTTTGTTGGCATTCTTACTCTCAGCAGGCTTATTGAATACAAAGTATTCTTCCCCATCATTAGTCTCAACCCTGCGAAATTTGTTCATCGTGGTGAGGTTACTACGTTTGGGGGGAAATTTCTTAGAACAACTTGCAGAAGTTCTAGTCATTTTAACATCTTTCGATGAGGCTTTTTTTACAGGGGTACTGGTATCTAAATCAGTTCCTAGTTCCATTGGCAGGTGTGGTTGTTGTGTAGTTTGCTGAATGCTAGTTTCAGCACTAGGTGTCTGTTGCTGTGCACGATCCTTATTTGGTAAATCAAAGCTAGAGGAGGTGACCAGGTTATTACTACGCATTATTCTGCGCTGACACGGTGTTTTATCCTGAGCTACGGTTATAGACTTATAACTGCTATTCAGTCTTAAGTGATCCTGACATTTAGTAAACTTACTAGCATCAAGGGAATTACTGAATTTAAAAATGATTGGGCAATTAGCCTGGTTAGACTTTTTACGAAGTCGTTTGCATTCACATGGAACACTAGCCATGCCGCAACAAATCAGGATTTTGTGTCTTAC